TAACCTCCCGGCGTGTGGCTTAAGTACGGCTGAGCGGACGGGAAGCCCTGTTTTCCACACCCTGTGGTCGTATGTGCTTGAATTTGTGCCAAGCTAGAATATAATCAACACATCTGATCAATAGCTGTTGCATTGCATGGCATAGACATCTGATCTGATCCCTGTTTAATAATGTTACGTGTCAGTGCCTCTGGCTCATTGTTGTGGTGGTTCGTCACATTTTGTGAACAGTCTATGAACGCTAATGGGCTGGCTTGAGTTGTTGTTTTATCTGCCCGCGCACTGTCGATGATCAGGGACATATAGGACAGTTCAGATTCGGCTCCTAATGAGGTAGAGTCGAATCATTCCTACATCAACGTGCTCTTGCCGGTACCCGCTTTGATAGGATTAGCTTGTCATTTAATGATATCTTGTGGATGCACTTACGCTGCCCTGCCAATCAGAGAAGCCAGCTGTAAGTGGGCGCTCTCTCCTTCATATATCTAATGTGCCGGTCCTGCCCACCCAGGCTGAAGTTTGCATAGTTTCGCGCCTCTCACCTGGACTTTATCTTCGATAGCCTTGCAGTCAGCCCATTGAGCCTCCACTCCAAGTGGCATGTCTAGACAAATCTCGCGTAAGTACCACCTTCCTTCTTATACCTGGTGCCTATCGTCTATACCTCAAGACTGGGTCAGCCACAAAACCATCGGTCTGACACCGCTGATGCGCCAGGGCTTTGGAACCGAGAGCGTGGCACACAAGTCGAGTCTGTATGTTATCACCCAGCCAACCCCTATTTCAAACAGATAAGTGCCCTTTGTGGAGAAGCATCCAGTGACTGACGAGGAGGACTACATTTACAAGACAACTCGCGTGGCAAGTGAATCGTCGCAACCAGCTTCTTGTTTCTATTGCAATATGAACTTGTTCCCTTCGCTCGCTGTGTTGTGTCGAAGGCGACGGTCTCAGCAAAGAAACAAACCACTACCATCTCGACAGCGTGGCTCTTCTACGCAGTGGGAAAAGGCTCAGCCGGCGCGGTGCAACACCCTACCTCCTCGCTATTCGAGTATCAGAACCGACTCCTGACCGGGTTATCCACAGCAGCAACAACAACAGCAACAGGAGCAACAGCAACGTGAGCAACAGCGTAGCTCAGGTAGCTCCAACACCCGATGTATCACCTATAAACATGTATCACCTAGAAAGGAGGGACGAAAGTCGGGGCCATCCTTGGACGACTCCGCCCTTCCCCTGAACAGCCGGATTCAACACCGCGATATCGACCAGCGTGCGCTAGCAGAATACGATTACATATACTCGATCATTGCGCGATCGTCGGACGGAACGACTCAACTTCGTCGCCAGATGTTGCTCCCTTTCACCGTCGATGTCAACATCATGTCCTACGAAACGTGTCGTCGCCTCGGCGTCGCGATCCAGCCCTACTACGGAGAGGCCCTAGCGGCTGTTTCGGGTTCCGCAGACCTGAAACCCCTGGGCACGGCGGAGGTGGAGTGGTCTTTCTGCGGGCAGAACAAGCCGTATCGCTCGGTCTTCTACGTGGTTCGCGAACTTGAGGCGGATTTCATTCTGGGAAACCCCACAATCAAGCAGTTGGAATTGCCTGGGACGGATCCTGCAATTGCGAAGAGATTACTCGCGCTGGAACAACAGTGACTAAAGTTGGTTGAGGGAATGTTCCTGATCTAAGGCGTTGATGAGAAGCAGAGTACGAATTGGTTTTATCAAGATTTCTTTTTTTAAACAATCTGTGGTTGTTGAAATGTCGCAAACAATTCGAAAGATACCAAAGATAATGGTCTCACTGCCCCATAAAGACTGAGAATACAGCGAGCAGTCGCCCACAGTGAGTACACCGACAGGCAGTAGATCTTCTCCTTGAACCGTTGATTACATTCTGCTGCCCTCCTTGGTGATTCTAGCGCCTGACAATTCTGGAAAGCGTGTGAATGATAGCGTAAGTGTGCATGCACCCTTGGTCACAGCCACCTGCGTGCCCAAGACGACGGCAGTTGCATGTGCCAACGCATCGTACTTGGTGACGACACCGCCAATCATAGCAGATGTGGGCGGGTGGGGAGCGTGCAGGTATTGGCTTGCGTTCTGTGGCTGAGTAGAGCACGCTTCTTCGATTCTTGCTTCTTTTCCCAGTGACGTTGCCGCTCTCTAGGAAAGGCGTCCAAGGTACTTCGTACTGTGGGCCTTACCGCAAATCTTACAATAGCTCAGTAGCCTGCCCTAGATTTCCAAGTCTGGAGGACTAATAAAGGCGCCAGCCCTGGGAGATGCGGCCTTGAGCTTAGGTTTCGTATCGCCTGAGCCTCTGTGATGCCATCGACGCTTAGGCAGCAGCTACTCCGGACAGGGATATCCTGGCAAAGGATCCGAGAAGAGTATCATATGCCAATACTCCGCCTTCTCCTACACTGATTAAATATGTAGTTGAAGATCCCTCTTCCTCGTTAAGACTACCCTATTACAAATATCCGATCCTTATCCGACCCTTCCTTCCTTTATTGTGAAGAGTCAAGCTTCCCAACCCGAAGGAGTCCTTCTGAGACGAAGAAGCGGCTTAAGAGCAAATAATGGCGCAATCCCCAGCCCCTGGCCTTCCCAGCCCGCCGGGCTACGAAAAACTCGGGACGCTGATGGCGCTGGACCCGGGATCCTGCATCTTCCGGCGCTTCGCCAAACTCAACGCTAAGAACCTGCTCTACCTCCAAGCGGAGCTGGCTTACCTCCAAGGGGACCTGGACCTTAACGCTCAAGAGGACCACTTCTCTGGTTCGGACGAAAAGCGAGCATAGGCGTTCTCCGTGTGGCGACTACGAGATTCACTCAACCAACCAGAGCAGGAGTATCCGTCGCAGCAGTGGCGGAAAATCTTGGAGGCAAGGCAGCTATTGAAGGAATATAGTAGGCGTGCTCACCTTTCTCTGTTTCTTTGAGACTTATCTTGGGAAGTGGGCTGTGTGGTGGTCGGTCAAAATCACAGGCTCCAGCGGACATAAAAGCAAAGGACCTTGATTCTACCCAGTATCAAAGCGTTAATGACTGAGAACAGACGAAGCTCTCATCCAGCAAGCCCGGCTCCTCCGCTTTCCTTCCCCGGACGCCAGTGACCTCAAGGTCCTCCGAGATTGACTCGTCCGTGAAGAAAACAGTCATGACCAGAAATACCACCCCATGGATCAGTGGGACCGAAACGAGCGAGATCTGATCTCCTTGCGCAGTCGCCACGAGGGCGCCGATGTATTGACTCGGTGGGTGTTTAGGTCCGTAGTCCCGTGGTTGCATCGGCGATGGGGGTGGGAGGATACAGTAAGTGATGCTGTCTACGATTCTGAAATTCTCCCCTGTCCCTCTCCATCAACAACCCGCCCATCATCTTGCCTGATCGCATCACTCATGCATTTGTTTCACGGATCTGCAATCTCCATAGGCGGGAGATCTTGCACATGCTTTTGTAGGCTGAAGAAATGCTGATGATGGCGCCACAGAGCCGGAAGGATGCCGTCACAGAGGTCTGGTATTACGATAACCGCACTATTAGGGACCACATCTACTTGATCAACTTAATCATCGCTGGACTCCTTCCGGCGACCTCCATGATTATTCTGTACTACCTTCGCAGCACGGTGGTCCGGCTGGTGGTGATCTTCGTCTATAATATACTGTTTGTTCTGGTTATGGGACTGATGGTGAAGGCGCGGAAGGTGGACATTTTTGCGACTGCGGCTGCGTGGGTCTCCTCCTTGATACCTTCCCGCTTCTTCTTTTTCGTCTCCGATGTTCTTGAGCGGTGGCTCTTGTATACTCGACGTCTCGCCGGTGTTTGGCACTTGGGGTGGGACCTATATACTGACTTGAGTGCAGATTTGCTGCGGTTCAGGTGGCCATGATTACGAGCGGGAATATTAATTCTTAGCATATCTGGGAAGTATTCTGCTCTCAGCGGCTGAGGACCTGCAAGGAGTATCAGCATTGGGACCTCAATGTCTCTTGTGAATACTAGCAGATTCTCTTACTCTTAGTTAACTGCTAGAAGAATGGCAGAAAAGAGCGCCCCAAGACAGAAGAAGCAAAAATGCATCACAGGGGTAGATTTCAGATCTATGCCATCTTATAATGATCAGAAAGCTGTGAGGCTACGTGCTAAGGTGACTAAACCAACTCGGCCTCTTTCCTACTCGAACGTAAACTGAGCGTAATTTTGACTCTACGAGGAGGGTGCAGAGTTTGGGACTGAGCGCAGTCCGTGAGGAGCAGAGGACTGTTAGCCATATGCCAAATGTTGAGCTGATGAGGTATGATACCAGTCAGTGATTGCCTTCGAAGAGAGATGACTCTGGCTGGGGAGGTCGACTACGTGGTCGAGATGTAGGAAAGGGGTTTCAGGTTTGTTTGGTCGGCGCGGCCGGGTCGGTGGGGGGTGGGATCGGGATTGCGGATGAGTAGGGTACGGTGGTGAAGGGATCTTGGCTTTCATCAGGGACCGAGGGTTGAGAATCTATCCGAAAGGTCATCTTTCTTGAGGTTCGTCCGTGAGATACTCGTGAGATGCAGTGCCCTGCATAAATGCCCTGTCTATCCATGATATTCCAAGTTTACTTACGAATCCCTTGATTAATAGGACTAATCAGATCATAGTTAGTATAGTAATTGAGCTATCTAGTAAACTATCATTACCTATGATTCTTCGAAGCTGTAGCTCTCTTTCCTACCATTTACAGTTTGGTACATAGATCCCTTCTGGTGTAGAATACATAGAATATCTGTATCTTAATTACAGCTTTGCATGTAGCTACAATCAAGGAATAGTTGGGGGATTATATTTTTGACAACCTCTACCATTGACTCTACAACCTTTCACGAAAATATTCACTATAGCTATGTCGTGCAGCGGGAGTAGGGCCCCTTAACTTTGTATGTCAACAAACAATACTGTTGGTACAAGAATGTGTTTATCTCTGTCTCAAGTATAAAAACTATGGAACTCTCTCTCTTATCAGTGGAGAAACAACAGAAGCAAGACTCCCCCGTCCGCGTCCACATCAATTTTCACACTCACAGCAGGCTCATTGGCTGGGTCCACTGCATCGTCCTGAGGTTCGAGTTCATTTGTTTCCTCGACAATGGATATGAGAGAATTCCTTCGTTGGACTCCCACAGATATTTTGAGTAATTTGAGAGGCATGTGTTGGGCTTGTGCCTGGATACTGTAATGTCCCCACGAAATGCTGCTCCTGTCGTGCTAAAGCAAGAACCGATGGGTTGAGGCACGTTGTAGGAGGAGCCCTTTGGATGGAAATTGAAATTCATTTACTATAAATATGATCTCGAGGGGTCAAGTGGGCAGTGGTTGCAGGGAACCTCATGCTGGTCGAAGGGTGGAAAGGAGTCTCCGTCCGGCTCTGCCGCATCCCTGTCGCGTCCCTCGGTTTGACCAGGTATCTGATCACCTGCTTGATACTCTCCATCTACCTTCTTTCGCTCTGTCGAAAGTTATGAAGGGTGTCTCGGAGTACCCTAAGTAAAAAGGGGTAATCTCTGCTGGTACGGTGATGTTACTTTCCCCTGAGACGGGTTCATAGCCTCGGAGAGATCAGCTCTCAGGTCAGGTTCTCTGACCATATCAAGATGGCAGCACAGTGAAGGCAAGTAATAATAGTACCAGATATGCGTGACCTTGAGCTTGTTTCCTATTCCTTAGGTTGTGACGAGAAGCGACTGTTAGCTACGAGAACGAAACCCACTCCAGATCGCGAACTGGCACTATTGATTACGAAATGAAGTGCTATGCGAGATATATATCACTGGAGCAAGGATTCGGTTTATACAACACTCTAGGTCTCTCTCCTGAGTATTTCCAAACTAGACACCGAAGCTGTTTCAATTGAAAATCATGGTATGTCGACAGACAAGGGAGGTGCAAGGTAGTCTAGGGAATTAAATAAATGGTTTAGGAAAAAGAGGAATCGAAGCTAAAAACATACAACAGAAGGGATTCGCTGGTGGTCACCCACCCAACTACTAACCTCCCGGCGAGTGGCTTAAACGCGGATAGAAGTAGGGTGGCTGCTGCCCCGGCGGAGCTAGCCGGCAAAGCCGCTTTTATCGTCGCGCGATCAGGGTGAGTATTCAAAGCGCTAAAATTCATCTGGGAAACGACCCGTCCCCTCCTGCGGCTAAAACGTAATTTTCTCACCAATCTCTCATCAATCCATTGATCGATTGACCAGCCGTCATAAAAATGCGGCTCTGCGCCTGTGTAACCATAACCATCCTCGCGCGGCTCACGCTCTGTCTAGCCCTAAGTTTTAAGGGTATAGACAAGGACTAGATTCGGATTCCGTTGTCCTTGGAAGATGGAAATCGAAATGATGACTGGAATTCGCTCAATAAAGGTTGAACATATCCTTGTGCACTTTCATGTTCCAGGGCTTACTGTCTCGGTTGTTAGGAGTGGGGAGACAATTACTAAAGTATATAATATATCTATACACCCTTAGCCCACGACCATCATGGCATACCCCTTAATGAATTTATACAATTTCTTAGATAGGTTTTTTGGCTACTATATAGCATATTCAAGATATTCTACACAACTTGGTACCCATCCCAAGACTAGGGTACCCTAGTACTCAGCCTCAAAGCGTTTCACGAAGCTCCTCCACCTGCGAGACATCCTCCACAAAGGTAGCGCCATACTCTCTCATAATCTGGATTCTCTCCGCCATATTCATCGCGAAACTGATTCTCATAAAGTCCCTTGGCATTTCCCTGGCATTCGCAAACCTCAACACCCACACGCCAACACCATCCGCCGGCCACCCAAACACCAGCACTTTCTTTTCTTCCTCCGTCATCTTTCTCACCCCTAGAACCGCCTCAAGCTCATCCTCCCTACTCAGCCACCACGTTGCCCCAGTCCGGCGCAAGAGCTTACAGAACCTGTCCTCCTCATCGACACTGGATGCACGCTGCACGGCCTGAAAGCGCGGGAGCGAGAGGAAAAGCAGGTCAACCAGGTTAGCGCTTTTAATGAGGACGCCACCGGTGGAGGGGTACCCATAGACAAGGCATCCTCCGGGGCTGAAGACGGTCCGTTCCATTGTCGAGAGAGGGGGGTTCACGGGGCATGAGCCGGCGTCGTCCTGCTCCACGCCGTCGAGTGCTGGGGGTCGTCGGCCCACGATCGGGAGGCGGTCCACGTTGATGGGGAGGACGCGGCCGATGGTTTGGGCGCAGAGGAAGGAGAGGAAGCTGGACATGTTGCTCGACTGAATCTGGGTTTGATGAATCTGGATTTGATAAGGTCAGCGGGTGAAAGAGAATCGGCAGGGAAGACGCAGTGAGGCGAGGGGGAGATCACGTGGTGCAGGCTTGAACAGGCAGCGACATTTATGATGATATCAAGCTATATGCAAGGTTGCTCCCTCCAAACCTCATCCACACCGCTATAGAGGATCTCAAAATTGCCTTGACCAACAAATACAATATGATTCTTTTTCAGGCACACTGCCAAGACATTAGCGCGGGTAGATGATTGAGTATTCAAAGCCGACTATAAATATTAGCCTTACAAATTGTAATATATCCAGAAAGTATTACCCGTAAAATATATATATCTCATGCCGAGAATTCTCCTGTTATGATGAGGTAAGATCTATGATTAGGTGGAAGCTAGTAGATTCTATACTAAGTATGCCGGTGCCAAAGGCTTTGATAATAAATATTGGATTAATCCAAGACCATTATCTTACAAAGAGATTAGAAGAACGCATCTGATTAGATGTTATATATCTATATACTCCTATATCTAGTAAGACAAGGCTAGTAATAGAGTGGCTTAACTTGACCGTTATACCTTAACCTTAACCTGCGGTCAGGTATAAAAATTTTGATGATTAACCTGACCTGACCTGGCTGTTAGCCACTCTAAGACCCGCCAGCCTGAACTGCTATACCTACTACCCCCGCCAGCCCGCACCTTGACAATTAAGGCTTCTTTACAGAGATTCTTGGTGGAGAGTATAAAGTAGAAGGTTAAGGTAGTTCTTGAGGTATAAGATTGGTATATAAAGTATTAAGGTGATTTTTCCGGTTGAAGGTACTAAGAAATATGTATATATAATTAATTTAGTATAAAAAATAGTTTCATTGCTTGTAGCTGCCAAAATATCCTGATTATATATAAATTTATATGGTGGGGGAATATTGGTTGGGTTGCTCGGCAAGTAGCCGCGCAAGTACTTTTTGTGTAGAACTATAGATAGTTTAGGGAATTATATAAATGGTTTAAGAAAAAGAGGAATCAAAGCCAAAAACATACAACAGAAGGGATTCGCTGGTGGTCACCCACCCAACTACTAACCTCCCGGCGTGTGGCTTAAGTACGGCTGAGCGGACGG